GGAGGCGAAAGCAAACGAAAGAATTTTGCTAGAGAGCAGGAAAGGAGGTGAAAGGAGACAATTTTAGAGTAGAAAATTTTTCGGTCGCTACCCGGATTCGAACCCGGGACCTTTGAATGAGAGGCCAACACCTTAACCTCTAGGCCACGAGAGCCCCCATCACTCGCTTAGAGTGACAGGGCTCTTACCCCTCTTGCTTCGAGAACTGAGTCACACATTACTGACATAGACGCCCCACAAACTTTGTCAAGGGCTCTAAAAAAATTGACAGGTATTATTCGTTTTTTAGTCTTACGCTTTACAAATGTCGATAAGATGTAAAACGCATTTTAGCAATAAGAGTGTGGACCGTTGACTCCCTTTTCTCAAAATGATGCGTTATAGAGTTGGGATCCTGTCATGTCATTCCAAGGTCAATAAAACAGAATACGGAGGGAAGCCACACACACACCCCGATTGGGTGGAGTCGGTAGCCTAGTGGTTAGACTCCCAGACTCGCAACCGCAAAGTCGTGGGTTCAAATCCCGTCAGGTGCCCAGCGTTCTGTCCTTGGCAAAGGCTCTTTACACGAATTTTCCTCACTTCACCCAGAATAGGTACGCAGCTATAGGCAGTGAAAGATCTTATCAGTTTGTATTTGAACGCTTTGTCAGCTGCTAGCACTGTATGCTTCTCAGGAAGCCGAGACTGTTTCTGAGTGTTCTATGGTCTGCTGGGGTAATAATGTAGTGTAAAGCGCATTGGGCTTACTGTGATCTACATGGACCAGATAACAAAGGTAATGGAGGCCAATCCAGACCCAGAGGCGCTCAACGAACTCATGTTTGCGGACGACCTGGCAATGATGAACAACAAGACTCAACTACAGGAGCATAATATGAACCAACTAAACACGAGCTGCTAGAGGTATGACATGAAGATCAGTGTTAGCAAGACCGAGGGCATGACAGCAGGAGACCAGACAAAGTGAATATCAACATCAATGGATCCCAACTAAAACGAAGCAGCGAATTCAAATACTTAGGCAGCATTTTCACAGAAAATGGAAAATTAGATCGAGAAATACTGACTAGATGTCAGAAAGCCAATGCAGTCAGCTATCGACTCGCCGCTCTCCTGAAACCTCCTAATATCCCCAAGAGCACAAAAGCGAAGCTCAACGCCATGTTCCTACCAACAGTCACATATCAGTGCCAGACATGGTCCCCAACAAAAGCCCTAGAGAGAAAGCTGGTCACATGCGAGATGAAATGTTAAGAAGAGCAATTAACAAGACAAAAAGAGAAGAAAAAAAATGAAACCATAAGGGACACGGTAGGAGCAACACATTGTCACACTTTGTCCAGAGTGTTGGGGTCACTAAGGTCGGAACATGACCCTCTCTGCTCCCCCCCCCCTCTTCAGGATCCATCCCAGAGTATGTCTGCTTACAGTCTCCATCACAATACGGTTGGAGATCCGCCAGACTGGTCCGCACAGGTGGCTGTGTTTCCCTTCTCTTTGGATCCGCTTCTCCTTCAATCTATCTAGGGTATGGGAACCGGTATCTGCTCTATTCTTCCTCAAATTTTCCCTTACAGCGGTTAGGGGGGTCGGGGGGGGGGGGGGGGGCGGGGGGCAAAATCCCCCCTAATTTAAAATTGCTTCCCCAGCCAGCTTGTCTTCTCTCTCGTTGCCGGTTACCCCTGCGTGGCCCGTGCAGAAGACCCAGGCCACTCTTTCCAGGCTGCTCTCCCTGATCGTAGCCTTCCATTCCGCATACAGCATCCCTTTCTGTACCTTCTGTAGTGTGCTCATAGTGTCAGTAATGATTACTGCTCGCTGATGGCTTGTGTTCTTGATCCAGTGTAGAGCCTCACTTTTGGCTATTATCTCACTACACATACTGGATGTTGTCTGTGCAGTTGCACCACTTTGCTCTTTCACTACTACCCCATCAACTCTGACACTGAAGGCCCAGCCCGATTTGACTCTTCTGTTGACTGATCCATCCGTGAGGTTCACAGCATCTCCACGTTGGCATGGCTCATTTATAAGGGTCTCAATTTCAGCGTTCGTAGCTCCAAGTGACCGGTTGCGACATTCTCTCTACCTAATGTTGCCGTCACCGTTGTGTACTATCCGAGCGCATCTTCGACCACGACCCAATCCTTGCCTCTCCTGATGTCTTGTATCACCAGTCCTACAACACATTGAAAAACAAAAGATCAAGTGGTTCGGACACCTCACGCGGATGCCCCCCAACCAACCAACTCTGAGGGCCTATAACATCAAATATTCTGGATGAAGAGCAAGAGGAAGACCAAGGCGACGCTGGAGTGAATCTGTAGCAGACACCCTCAGAGCTTACCTGCAGGTCACTCACCTTGCTTCAGACAGACGCCTGTATCTCCCCGCGACACCCACCGGTACAAGCGGAAGAAAAAAGTAAAGTAAAGTAAAGACAGCTGTCTTGAATTTTAAACTTGTCTTGAGTTTGAAACGGCTGATCCATTAACTGCAATTTTTAATGGGTTTTCTGGATAGAATTTTGACTGAGTATTAATGTTTTAAGCCATAATTTTATTTATAATTTCATTTATCTCCTTTATAAAGCGGACTGCTTCTCCCCTACTTGTAAGGGCCAACCTTGGGTGAGGGGGATGCATTATCCCAAATAGTCAGTGAAGATGCAAAATGTACTAAAATTTAATAAATAACTTCCGCGAACTGGAATAGAACGCACGTATTCTGAGTGCATGAGTAGAGCATCTAATCCTTATACCACAGATGTCGGTGCTTACATAGAGTGTCGGAATATGCAATTTACTTAATATTGTTTGTTTCAACTTTCTTGATAAATTAAGCTATTTAAAAAATGGCACATTGATTAACATTTACTGACACCCCCCCCCCCCCCCCACCCCCAGGCACCGCATCTGCTTCTTTTCCTGATTCCAAAATACAGGTTTCAGCATATCGAACCTCTTGTGGCCACGTTCAAGAGAGAGAATGTTCTCCATTGATACCGTTTGTTCTTTTGAAGTGGTTGATATCTCCAGCTAGTTCTGAATACTTCTTCTTCATCTTCTTTCTTTCTTTCTTTCTTTCTTTCTTTCTTTCTTTCTTTCTTTCTTTCTTTTTCTTCTTCTTCTTCTTCTTCTTCTTCTTCTTCTTCTTCTT